AGGGAACCGCTATTATAATATACATCGTATTCTGTTGTCTTTAGTTGGCTTATGGCCTTATCAGCAATCGAATATGAGAAAAGTTCAATGGATAATTTCTTCTATTGTTCTCGCATCTTCTATTATTATCCAGGTAAATAAGCATTTTGGAGTTCATTAACTAAATGAATATTCAAATCTATAATATTTATATTACTTCAATTTGATTATTATTTGATAAAAATTAATTAATAAAATTAATTAATGAAATAATATATTTATATTTATGTTAAATATATTTAACATAACTTCAGTTAAAATACTTTATATATGACGTAGCGATTCATATATTCTTTGTAAGTTATATTTTATATATTTTTTGTTATTTTGTTAATCTTAAAAATTGAAGAAGAAATTACATTTTTTAATTTATGTGCATTAAAAGTTAAGAAAAATTTTTTGAACTTTAACAAAGCAAATAATAATTATTTTTAGTTTATGAAATTTCTGACAACTGAATACAGTCTGGATTTGCTACTCAAAGTTTTGTCATTTGCAGTACCTTGTATGGTGTTTGTTTTAAAATATGTTTCTTTTTATATCGGTAGTGAGACAGTAAGTCAACAATAATTAAATATGTTACGAGATTTATAAGCTAAAATAAAATGTGTACATTATATTTTCTTTTAATTGCGCTATTCTGACTTTTTCATGCCTTTTACTTTTAGTTTACTTAATAAAATTTTAAAAATCTATAGGTAAGATATCTTATGGAAAGTATTATAAGTGATTGGAATTCGTTAAAAATCGATATTGAGATTGAAATTATAAAAAAGCATTCCGATTTTGGACGGCTGTATGCGTTGTTCTTTACACGTAAAAAAATTGTTTCTTAATGTATCTAATATTAATCTGAAATATATTCTTCATAGTTCTATTTAATTTACTCCATCAATATTTGAAATTAATAGTTAATTATAATATGAAAGTTATGGAATTTATTAATTATACTTTGCATATTTTCAGTAGCTGTATATTCTGGTTTGTTTTTTTATATGTTGATTCAATTTTTGCCAAATTTTCTCGATATCATAGCATCACGAAATGAATCACGATTGCATAATATACCATTAACAGCAGAAATATTTTGCCGATCAACAGAAATATTATCTTCCGATTTTATTACATGTCGACATAATAGCTCTTGTAGGATTTACTATCGTGATTTCTACCGAATCTTTAATTACAGCATATATTCGACATGCTATAGGAATGTTTGAAGTTGCTAGGTAAATTTTGAATTAAAATAATATGTATTTTTTTTACAATAAAATTATTTTAATAATTTAGTTTATATATATGTACTCATAGAAGAGTTCTATTGCATATCCAATTTTTTTTTAGTTACAGAATAGAACATGCATTTGACGAAGTATTGGGCATAATGACATCAAGGAAATGTTGTTTATATTGTACAAAAATAATAAATGCTATACACATTCATAGGAGAGCTATAAAGTTGGTATTTTTTAATGAAACTTTGTGTTATAATATTTTTTTGTAGTAAATCCATTTATCCAATTAAATATGTTGTTTTATTTATTATTAATTATTAATATTAACTTCAATTTAAAAAATTAGTTGGAAATATTTATTTTTGAGAGTATATAATAAAAATTTATATATATGAAAAATATATTTGATATTTATTATATTTTCATTATAATCATATTAATAAAATTTTATATATAAAATTTTATTAATATGATTATAATGATAGTATAAATATAATATAAATCAATATGATATATTACTAAAGTATTTGTTTTATTTAAGATTCATTGAGTTTTTAAGATCTAGCTTCGCTATTTCGTATTTTTTCCTAGTTTGTTTGGGAATTACTTCTTTGACTGCTAATTTACTTCGCGTAAGTTTATTATTGCTTTACATCTCTATTATATATACGATTAATTATTTTAAAATAAATTATATTTAATTTTTTCTATCATAGCTGTATTTAGCTACACAATATTTGAATAATTTAGAAGAATGTATCACTGCTGTATTACTTGTCCTTGGTCATATTTATTACATATTATTTTTTTGGCTAATTACACTAGCCAGAAATTAATAGATACAAAGTATAGATGTATT